AATCCTGAACAGTATGTTCTAAGTTATTTTAATTGATATTAAAATTTATATAATTTATTTTAGTCACTAAATTAATAAATGGGCAAAATAGCATGTCTATCCCTGTAATTTTAAATAATTAATTACAAATTAGGTATTTAATTTTATTAGATTATAATTTAGTCCTAAGTTTAATATTTCATTTATTTTACAAGCTTTATTACTTTTATTTTTTCATACATGTTTTAATTTTATTTTAAACATTATTTAATCATATGTTACTTTTATATATTATGTTCACATATATTTAATTATCATTACTATTACTATTATTATTTATTAATTATGTCAATATATATAGTCTTAAATATATATATATTTATTTATTTATTCTATTTCCTATTTATAAATTTAATTTTATAAATTACTTTTAAGAAAAATAATCATATTTTTGATATTTATTTATTTTAATATCGAAGAAAAGAGCTGTCTTAAGGCACTAGAAGTCATTTTCTGATATTTTAATAAATAAATATCTTATTAAAATAATTTTTATTTTAAGAAAATGTTTGGTTATTTATTTATTTTTCAATATCAAAGAAAAGAGCTGTCTTAAGGTACCTAGAAGCTCTTTTTTGATATTTTTGAATAAATAAATATCTTACTATATTAAAATAAAATGTTTTGATATTTATTTATTTTTTAATATCAAAGAAAAGAGCTGTCTTAAAGCACCTAGAAGCCCTTTTCTGATATTTCTAAATAAGTAAATATCTTATTTATGTATATTAATATTTCTTAAAGGTACCTAGAAGCTCTTTTTTGATATTTTGAATAAATAAATATCTTACTATATTAAAATAAAATGTTTTGATATTTATTTATTTTTAATATCAAAGAAAAGAGCTGTCTTAAAGCACCTAGAAGCCCTTTTCTGATATTTCTAAAAGTAAATATCTTATTTATGTCTATTAATTATTTTCTTAAAATTATTGAAATAATAGAATTATGAATTAAATATATCTTTGAATTTTTAAATTTCCATAATAAGATATTTATATTAAAAAGTACCAATTTTGGGCGTTGTAGGGGTGCTAATCATTCCCTAAACTTAAACCGACCACGAATCTCTTTTTATTATTAAAAGAACGAATTTTTGGTTATAAACGCAGATCAGTTATCTTTTAACTGATGTTTTCTTAAAACTCTTTTAAAAGATAATTTTTTAGGTATTCGACCTACCTAACCCAAAAGGCCGATGGCGACTCCCAAATTATTTTAAAAACCATTTATTCACACTTTTCCGCCAAGTAAGTACAAAATTCGTGCCCGGGCGAAAACCGGTTACGACAAACACCATTGGTACTTATGCGATGGGGTGGGGTTCGTCAGGAACAAAACTGGTTGAAGCTGGAGGAGTCAATGTGAAAGTCACTCTAGACGGGGAAAGGGTCAAGTTTTGCGATTGGAGCTTCGGGTCGTTTCTCAACAAGCATCCAAGGGCTGAAAGCTTCATTGTGGACAGGTGAAGGGTGTCACGGTTTTGCACAATAGCCTCTGGTTGCTCAACGTGGTTTGATCCGCAGAATATGCTTTGGTAGTGATCTTTGGTATGCCCGTAAGAACCGCAATCAAATAACCAAAAGGGGGGAATTCATATTCAACTATTTAAATATGGCCATTGATTGAAAGTTTAGACACAAACAATTTATGAAGGTTGATGTTGATTGTAATTCAAGAAACCTTCTCTTTGACCATTATCGGTTTGATAATAAATTTTTTGATGACCGAACCAATGCGAGAGTCAATAGATTCTATTATGCTTCTTTTGTACCAGGTTATTGGTAGACTCGAGGTGAACCCAAGCCATAATTCTATTGGGAAATTGGGATTGGCTAAAATTTCTCGACTAAGGTTCCACTATCGAATAATGGTAGAAGATTATCCAAGGTAGATAGCTGTCTCTGAGACGAATTTGATGAGAAAGTAGTCGTTTATCAATATTGACCAGTTGATCGGGTGTAAGGTTTCCAGATACTCTCTAAACCGAACAATATGATGGATTATAATTATATTGATATAACTTTATCAAAGAGGGATCTGATTATATGTGACCATCGAAAAATTAATCGAAAACAAATATCGTGAGAGTCTTTGTACGAGCACCAAAATGACATAATGGTATGTGAAAAACGTACCAAAGACAAAAGTAATGTCACAAAAGAAAAGAAAATGTGTGCCATAAGAGAATAAAAAAGTGTGTCACAATGATAAAGATTTTTATTAAAGGAAAACTCAAGATAAAAGAAAAACAAATGACATAGTATGAAAAAAATTAGAGAATTAATAACCTACCAACATAATATTAATGTCGCCATTTAAACAAAAGTCAAAGAGAAAAATAAAATATTTGTAGTATGTGACCGTAATTGTTTAATAAAAAATCATATTTTTATCTTAAAAATAAAATATATTACATAGATTTAGATTATATTTTTTCCGATGATAGAGTGGGAAAAACACAATTCAGAGAGCTAACCGGACTCAATAATGTCTCTATGCAGAATAGCCTGCAATTCGTTTGGTGGATCCAATAACTTCGTAGTTCCAATAGGTCGACCCCGACTCCATGCAGCTAAAAAATTAGCAGCAGCGTTTTGTTCTAGCTTCACGTGCTACATCTCCATTCTCCAGTCTTGGTCTCGTAAATCATTTATAGCAGCAACAAGGGAATTTCCAGCCAATGCATCAGAAGAACAATGCCAAATCCTAGAAACTTCCAGATTATCCGATTCCACTTCCACCCGACGATATCCCAACCTCCAAGATATAGCAAGAATATCGTGAACCGCCCATAGCTCCTCAATTAGAACCGAGCATTGCCCAATACTAGGAGAAAAGCCATAAATCCAATTTCCTTCCGAATCTCGCAACCATCCTCCAACTGCCGCCATAGAATCGTTACTTCTCACTGCACCATCGGCATTTGCTTTAATCCAACCAATCTTTGGTCTCCTCCAGTATAAACTATTTCTTTGTTGGCTGATACACACATTCGTAGCCGTTGATGCAGCTGGAGTACTCAACCGCAAGCCGCTTGCAAAGAGTGAGGAAATCCTCTCTTTGAACATAATCCGTATCAAGTATCACACTGCATCTCCGCTTCAGAGTTGCCAGCAAATAACCGCAAACAAAACATTCCACCTCATTCCATTGGATTGGAGCCTGGCCGAGAATAAATTTGCTTGCATCCAATCCACATATGGCATGTTTTAGAAAAGTGTGAAGAGCATTCGTATGAACTACCTGATTCCACACTGTTGAGATACATAAGGAAGCTGAGGGTGCTATCCACGTGCGAAGTGTCAAGGCTGTTAGGAAACTATTCTAGAAGCAGTAGTTTGTTAAAGTTTGTTATGAACCTGCTATAAGAAGCTAAGGCTAGGTGATGTATAACTCACGCTTAATGAAATATATTTTCTGGTATTATGTCTGTTTCAAGCTTTGCCTACTGCAATGCTTAACACACACTTCCCTCGCCCTTGCACAATGCCTCAACACATGATCCGAGTTTTCTGGTCCTGACCCACATATTATGCAGTCAATGGAGGAGGACAAGTGCCGGTGATTACGTTCCACATTCGTTAGCAAGCGATCTTGAATTGCTAACCAGCTGAATACTTTAACTCTCTGTGGAACCTCTAATTTCCAAAGCTTCTTCCAGTTTATTACATTTTCCTCAAGCCCCTGATTTTGTTAAAAAACTATAGGCTGATTTGGTAGAGTACCTTCTTTCCGGTTCCAAACGCCAAGCATGTAAATCATGACCCAACCGAGGATTAGGTGCTTGCACTGTTGCAATACGATCAACAATATGACCAGACAAGACATTCGAAATTTGATTCCAATCCCAAGAACCTGAGGGACTAGCCATTGCGTACACTGGCAGGGGAGCATAGGAGCAGGAGATCCCGAACCTGTATAAGACAAAGCAAGTCGTTCTTCACCGTCTAACCAATGATCATGCCAAAAATCCGCTCCGCATCCATCCCGAATATTCCAAGAAATACATTAGAGAAAATACTCCAAATGCAAGTGATGCCCTTCCATAATCTAGAGCCATTCTTATTATTAAGGGTGAATGGGAGGGGATCCTCCCAGTGATACTTGTCTCGGACAACTTTGACCCATAATTTTCCCGGTTGAGAAATAAATTGGAAGTCTATCTTCATCATAAATGCTCGGATCTGATGCTCCATATTGTGAATCCCCAAGCCTCCATTAGTAATCAATCAATATCATAACATAAACTTGAAAACATATCGGATCTAACTTGACTATAATAAAATTCATTTTAAAAATTCAAAAAAATTTTAGATAATAAATATAACTCTATTAACTTATTTTTTTTAAATAATATGCCGTTGGGTTATTTATTAAACAAAAAATAAAACAAAACCAAAAGAAAAAATCCAACAAGGCCCAAGACAAAACACATGCTCAGGCAGTTAAACGAAACAAAACAACAAAAGTGACAGCACAAAAGAAACTGAAAACAACAATAGAAAACAAAATAAAACTAAAGAAAGAAGACTAAAAAGCTAAATACACGGCGATCCAACTTCTGCTTCTTGGAAAAACTAATGATGATAGCTCGAGCATGAAGAAGACTGGAAGGGGTTCTAAAACAGTAAACAAATACACCCTTCAAAGAGCGGGAAAGAAATGAGAACCTCCCTCTGGAAAGAGTCATGGAGGGTCTACCAGTCGACGAAAGTCTGCAGCTGCCACAAGGACGGCCGGAGGAGCTTCTTCGATCTAGAACTGGTCAGTGTTTTCCTTAATCCCAGTTGTGGCTAAAGCATGTGCTGCTTTATTTGCATTTGTTGGAACAAATTGAAAATGACACTCTTCAAAGTCTTTAATATTCTCTCTGATGCCTATTATGAAAGGAAGAATGGCTGAGAAATCTGAATCGTTTGATTTTATACGTTTTATAACAGATAAAGCATCTCCTTCGACTATGAGTCGCCTGAAACCCATTTCTTGCGCGAAACAGAGACCATGAAAAAAGCCAGTGCCTCTGCTACAAATGCCGAATCAACCAGGTAAGTCACTCGACAATTGGCACCTATTATTTCGCCAAAAACATCTCTAATAATACTACCTGAGCATGCCTTCTCCATTTGATGCAAGAAATTGGAGTCCACATTGATTTTCACAAATGGGTCGACAGGAGGTAACCAACGAGCTTCAGACGCGTTGTTTTGGTGTTGAAGAGGACCAACTAAAGCATTTAAATCAGTCAAGTAACTCCTAACAAAAGATATAACTTCCTCAGCACTTTGATTCTTACCTTCATGAACCAACCTGTTTCGAGAGAACCATAAAGCCCATAGCAAATACAGAATAATCTTTGATTTTGTTTGTTGACATTCTACAAAATCCATAGGAACCAATCTATGAAATTTGTGTGGCCTATAAAAGTAGTCTAATCAAAACCCAAACCCCTCTATACCGACTTGCATAGGGACAATCACAACAAACATGGACATTAGATTCAACTGCTTGGGGGCATCTAGGATAGCAATGGCTTTGGGCAATTCTTTTAATATAAAGGTTGCGAAAGGTAGGCACATAATTATGAAATAATTTCCATAATAAACTGCACACCTTATTGGGACATTATTGTTTCCACATCTGAAATAATTTCTATGATCTGTCATCCTGATTTAATAAGTCTACCACCATCATTAATCCTTTGACTGGATCAGTTTTAACCCTTCTTTGACCCGGGCCTGGCAACCAAAAATCATTCCAAATGGACACTGAATTCCCAGTCCCAATTTTCCAACACAATCCATAATCTAGGAGACCTCTATTACTCCAAACACTTCTCCAAATCAGCAAAGGATTTGCCCCTAGGGTCGCCTTCGAGAAAGTCGAGGAAGGATAATATTTTGCATGGAAAACTCTCACCACGAGAGAATCAGGATGATGAAGGAGTCTCCATCCCTATTTAGCCAGTAAAGAGATGTTAAATTTACCGAGATCACGAAAGCCCATACCACATTCCTCCTTCGAAATGCTCAGCTTCTCCCAGGTGCACAATGAATACCTCGCTTGGATTTTTTGTGTGACCACCAGAAACGCTCCATAATTGCTTCTAACTTCTTGCACATAGAAAGAGGGAGTAAAAAATGACATACAAAAAGTGGCAGAGCTTGGATAATAGATTTGAAAAAAAAAACCTCCTTCCCACCCATCGAAAGCTGTCTAGAACTCCAACTATTGATTTTGCTTTCAAATCTATCAACCAACTCCGCAATAGCCTTCTTTTTATTCCTACCCACAATTGCAGGCATGCCCAAATACTTCTCTGGGCAGTTTGTTCTACTAACTTCCAAAATTTGGTAATCATCCCATTTATTAGAATCAACTACATTAGAGTTGAAGAAAACCCTCAATTTCTCATAATAGATCAGCTGACCCGAGCATTTAGAATAAACATCCAGGATATTCTCTATAGTCGAAGCCCCATAAGAAGTTGCTTCACCAAAAAACAAGCAGTCATCCGCAAATAATAAATGAGTAAGGCAAGGAGCCCCTCTAACTATACGTATACCTTGTATAGACCCTGTAGACACTGCCTTGTTTAACAAATTAGATAAGCCCTTAATACAAATTAAGAAAAGATAAGGACTGAGGGGATCACCTTGTCTTAGCCTCGAGTAGGGAAAAAAAAAGAAGCCCCCCCACCTTTTCATTTACCGCAACTGAGTAGGAGACAGTTTCAACACAATTCATCACCCACTCTATCCAGATATGGGAGAAACCCATTCATTGAAGTATACCTTTGATGAAATTCCACTTGACTCTATCATAGGTTACTCATATCAAGTTTCAAAGTAAATGAGCCCCTTTGGCCATAACACCGATTTTTAAAAGAGTGAAGGATCTCATAAGCGAGCATGATGTTGTCCGAAATTAACCTTCCAGGCATGAAAGCACTCTAATCTTTGTCAATGCAACAATGAAGGGTTAATTGAAATCTATTTGCAAGAACTTTTGAAAAAATCTTGTAAAGGACGTTGCATAGGCTTATTGGACGGAATTGGTTCATACTCCCAGGATTCTCCATATAGAAATCAAAACAAATTGAGTTTTATTTGCCTCCGTCAGCTGAGTCTCGCCCTTAAAAACCTCTGAGCAGAAAGTAGTGACCTCTTTTCCGATAATATGCCAAAATTCTGATAGAAAATCGCACCTAGCCCATCAGGACCCGAGGCTTTTAGAGGATTCATAGACTTCACTATTGCCGTCACCTCCTCATAAGAAATATCCTTTATCAGATCCACATTCATTGAGGGTGAAATGGCGGTTCAAGCTCCTCTAAGATATGTGATAAAAGAAAGGTTCCTTGAGAAGAAAATAAATCTTCAAAATATTCACGAGCAATGGCATTTAAATCAAAGTCCTCAGTTAAAAAAAAACTTGGGAATCCTGAAGACCTTTAATTCGGTTCCTGCGTCTGAGTTGGGAGGCAAAACTATGAAAAAAACCCAGTATTTCGATCTCCATGCTTCAACCAATTTGCCCTCACACGTTGCTCCCAATATCATTCTTCACGATGAGCCTCTAGGTTTAAAGCTAATTTTGTGTGGATAAGTTCTTCCAAAATATCATCGGTTGTACCCAATTTCTTCTTCAAAATGGCTTCGGTTAACTTCTTATCTTTTCTAATTTTTTGAAACCAAACTTCCAAACCCAGACTTATAGCCCTTAATTTCTCCATCAAAGTTCTAGTGGCATTATCCCAATGCTTCCCTACCTCTTCTTCACAAGTTTCTTCAGTTAACCATACTGCTTCAAAATGGAAGTGCCAGTGATTATCTGAATTTTGAACAATGGCTGTCATGCTTAAGGGCAAAGGGCAATGGTCGGAAATCGAATGAGGAAGATGCTCCAAACGGAAGTGCGGAAAAAAAATTCCACCAAGAGCCATTAGCAACTCCCCTATCCAGTCTTTCACGGACGTTTTTCGCCTAAAAATTTCCCTTCTCCCACGTGAACCACCTTCCATGAAAACCGAGATCTTCAAGAGCACAATCATCCAGTGCAGAACGGAAAGCCATCATCTGACTCTCTTGTCTAGTCAATCATCCCTGCTTCTCATGTTAAAACAAGATTTCGTTAAATTGCCCAAGACTAACCATGGAGTTTTAGGATCCCAATTAAGCTGACGAAGAAGTTTCCAAGCCTCACTTCTCTTATTTTCGCGGGAAGCCCCAGAAAACCCTATAAACCGCCACCTTCTGCCCTTCGAGTCTTCTTCAATTACGATATCAATATGGAGATGAGAAAAGGATTGGAGAGAGATTTTACAATTTGCTTTCTAACCCAACCTTAAGCCACCACTCTTACCAACTATCGGGACATCTATGCCATTTGGGAAACCACACCTTTTTCTTACTGTTTTCATTTTATAGTTTTGTAGTTTTGTCTCAATCAGGAAAACCACATAGGGGCTCACATCTTACAGAGCATGAATGAGACGTCGCACCATTCGGGTTTTCGCCAAACCCCAAGCATTCCACCCTAAGATTTTCATTGTTCTCGGTTGGCCTGCATAGCGAGGCCTGTCGATTTTTCCAGTTCTTGAACCTGTATAGATTTATTCGTAGCAGCAAGTGAAACAGTAGAATTAGTAACAACTTGTGCTAAATTTTGATACCTAGGTCTTTTCTTTTTCCTAGAATCACCTATAAGAATGTCTTCCTCTTGTTAGGCCATGGTGACATTGAGATCCACATTTGGTGAATTTAAAATGAATTGGGTCTCCCTTCGTCGTTTCCCTATTAAACTAGGACCCACTAAATTATTTTGATCCTGTCTGTGGAAATGGAATCTTTATTTATTTCAGGCAAACCACCTGTCATTATTTTAATTGAGATATTCTTTTTCCCAAATATTTGCGTTGAATTAGCTATAACAGGTGCACTTCCAGGAAATTTGCTCGTTAAACCCACCGCAGATTGAGATCCTATTAAAGTTGTCTCTCAACCAGATACTAGTCGGAGGAGATGCTTTTCGGGAATGAACTCTAATAAAAAAAATCCCATCTATGAGGTAAATCCTTACTCCCGGATTTGCCCTTAGCGGGCAAAAGCTTTCACCGTGACCAAACTTACCACACAAGACGTAGAAAAAATTGAATAAGTGTTTCGAGAAGTTTGAAGTTATAATGGAGTTATGAGTTTGGTTGATATCGATTTAGCTATCGATTTTATTTTATAGATTTTCAAATTTTAAAATGAGCTTATATTAGTACGATACTAATATGTAGTTCGAACAATTTTTATGTTATAATTTGGTATTGCCAGACTACGATAAATCTAGCAATCCGAACGATTCGAAAGAAAAGAACAAAGCTCGTGACTAGGATTATTATATATAAGTTTTGTAGTGAGGCAAAGGTGAGTGCAATTTATTTATTTAATTATTCTGATTGAGGAAGACTTACGATAAGTCAACCTCATATTATCTTTTAAGAGTATGGTTTTATTTTAATCATTGAATATTTCCATAATGACATATAAAGAATTTATGATTATTTGGGTATGAAATTACCCAAGACATTTTTATATGACATTTTCTGTAAAAAGGTATTCAAATGATTTTTTATAATGATTTTAAAGAATGATATTTATTGTTAATGATGGAATATTTTCTCGATGATTTTAGAAATATTATTTGAATTATTTTGGGTATAAACTTCACATGTCATGATTTACGAATGTGAATTAAATATATTTCTGATTCTGATATGACTTTTATAAAATGATTACGAAATAAACTGAAAGCCCACTGTATGTTATATTGAGAGTTAAAGGTACAATTGACATGCCATGAGGTGGAGTGATTATCTGTTCTGATTCTGATATACTGTGGTGTACCAGAGTGTACACTAGTATATATATTCTGATCTTATTGCACTTTGTGTGTATATTGTTATTTTCGATGCGTTAGCACTGTGTGTGCTTATCTGTTCCGACTCTGATGATCTGAGATATGTATTGCGCACACTCGTCTGACTCTCGTACCTTATATTCTCTTAAAATATACTTTGGGCTATAAAAATGAAATACGAAAGTTTTGAAAAGTGTCTGATTACAAAAGAATATTGACTGATTATTCTGTCTGATCTGATTTATTATGATTTTGTGAAAATCATCAGATGATTCTTTTCAGGTTTCTGATAAAGTTCAACATGAGATATCCGGTTTGAAATTTTGAAAGTTTGTTTATTTTTTTTTATAAATTTATATATATTTTGATATTTTATTTATTTGTTCTCACCTTTAGTATTGCTGTCTCACTAAGTTATACTTAGCGCGTGATGATTTTCATGCGTAGGGTCTGATTGAGATACAAACGTTTTATGAGGAGCCTTTCAAGCATCATATGCATATCATCTATAATACCAGTATCAGTAAGACATCGTTGAAGTTTCTTTTGGCTAGTAGTGGCATGTATATTTATGTTATCAATATGCTTTATCAGTTTTGACTAAATGGTTGGTAATAGTAAATTAAGACTGTTTAATTTGATTATATTAGCTTATCAGTATTTTAATATGCCTAAAATTATATAGTAAATAAAATAGTATGTTTTTAAATGGTATGAAAATTCAAGTAGATAAAAATAGTTGATAAAAAGTTGAAACTCTGAGTGTTTAAAAAAATTTAAGTAACTGTGAATAATAATAGTTAGTTAGTTTGACGTGACATCTATGGCTCGTATTCTTAAATGTTTACGGGCTATGGATGTTACATTTATTGGTATTAGAGTTGCAGGTTTAGCCGATTCTCGGCCTAAACCAAGCCTATATTATGTAAGAAATATGTACATGCCACTAGGATATTGAAATTATTGATATGGTATGGTCTGATGATTTTATTTATGATGCCGCTCCTTACTAACGTAAGTTTGTGATTTAGTTTAGATGTTGGTTCAGAAGGCATAAAGGGGCCACCGAACAAGAGGTTCCTGAGGGAATCAGAGTATATCAACTACAGATTAGGGAACGTTTTTACAAGCTCTGGAGGCTATTTTGGCTCGATATTAGTCTTTAGCAGTATCTCCCATTCCTCCGCCTCTATTTTTTCCTGCAGCTCTAAGAATATTGGTTCCAAAAGAATTAAAAAGTTTTGGAGTTGCAGAATCTGAAGGCGAAGCAAACGAAGGCCCATTAGTGGAAGATACGTGGTTAAATTATGTGAAAATAATGTTGGATAGTCTTCACTATTCTGATGCTGAAAGATTGAATGGAGTAGTTTCACTATTACGAGGCCAAGTCCGTATATGGTGGACGAACGTGATGACACATGTTTCTCCATATTAGATTACTTGGTGGTTACTGTTTATTGAGTTTGAGGTTATATTGGGCATGGATTGGTTATCTCGACATTATGTTGGATAGATTGTCGCATGAAGCAACTATTTATAAAGGATGTAGATGGTGCAGAGATAATAATAATTAGAGAAAAAGCGAGATCTTTGCTCAATGTGATATCTGTTGAAAACATTTTGATGCTTCAATATAACAAATTAAGTTAAATAAATTTTAAGATTTTACAAATGATTTTCTAAGTATATTGGAATTAATTACTCGAATATCAAAATATTACTCCAAGTCTTTCAAAGTTCAATTTCAATCCTTACTAATGTGTAAAATTGTGTTTTATACTTAAAATATTTTTGAAACAATTTTCACAAAGTATTTCGAACCAAAAAAGAGCCAAAAATAAAAATTGAGAAATGATGCACCGATGCACTCACCATATTGAATGCATTTTATGAATCGATGCACTACCATGCATCGATGCACTACCATGCATCGATGCACTACCATGCATCGATGCACTACCATGCATCGATGCACTACCATGCATCGATGCACTCAGGTTTTATGAAAACATCGAATGCATTTTATGCATCGATGCACATACCATACATCGATGCACTCACGCTTGTTTAAAACATCGAATGCATTTATGCATCGATGCACTCTTAGTGCACCGATGCACTAAGGGTCTAACGGTCGAAATATTTGAATTTTACACATAGTGTACCGATGCACTAGCTTTATGCATCGATGCACCAGACGCTCCCACTAATTTTATTAATTGTTTTCACCCTTAAATGGCTCCATTGACTCCACTAATCATCCCCAACATTCAGAATCAATTGAAGGAGTATTTAAACAAGCTTAGAATACATTGATAAAAAAATAAGAAACAACAATCGACAAGAATTAAGAGAGAATCAAAGAGAAAGCATCAAACCTCAAGTTTGAGCATTT